TTAAAAAAAAAAAAAAAAAAAAAAAAAGAAAAGAAAAAAGAAAATGGTTAACTGAGCTATAATGGAGTTGAGTTTTTGGTCTTAATCAAAACAATCAAAGGAAAGAGACCTGGTGAGAGGGAAGTGGAGGAAAATGATTCATTGTGTCCTTGGCAAGAGCACAGTGCTTTGCACATAATGAATGCTCAATAAATAGTTATTGAATGGCAGAAGGAAGGCAAAGACAGATGGATCATCTCCTCAGGCAGAGGAGAAGGGTCACTGGCTTTGGAGTCACGTAGGCCTGAGTGTCCTCTGGCTCTGGCTTTGCCACCTTCCTGCCCAGAGTTCTTAAGCACGTGACCCCAGTTGCCAGTTTTTTAAACTTACATGACTCTATGACTATATTCTCACCTGTCCTTTGCAAAAGGAAGAAAATAGTATCCAAAGTTGTTCATAAAATTAAATTTATTCCACTTAAAGTTTCCTTTAGGAGAATAAATCACATCCCTCATTCTTGGGTATTACAATGTCTTTCCTTGGGCCACCTGGGTGGCTCAGTCGCTTGAGCATCTGACTCTTGATCTCAGCTCAGGTCTTCAGAGCCATGAGTTCAAGTGCAGCATTGGGCTCCATGCTGGGTGTAAAGCCTATTTAAAAAAATTTAGATAGGGGCGCCTGGGTGGCTCAGTCAGTTGAGCGTCCGACTTTAGCTCAGGTCACGATGTCGCGGTCCGTGAGTTCGAGCCCCGCGTCGGGCTCTGGGCTGATGGCTCAGAGCCTGGAGCCTGCCTCCGATTCTGTGTCTCCCTCTCTCTCTGCCCCTCCCCCGTTCACGCTCTTTCTCTGTCTCAAAAATAAATAAATGTTAAAAAAAAAATTAAAAAAACAATTTAGATAAAACAATTTTAGATAAAAAAATTTAGATAAAAAGATAATAAAATATATTTCCTTTTACGAAACGATAGGAATATATATAGCATTTCTTCCCTAATGTCTGTGAAAAGGCAATTCTTTGGCAAAATACAAATATTACATTTTAGAAGTAAGCAGCTTAACTTCTCTGAACCAGTTTCTTCATCTCTAAAATTGGACTAAACCCTCTTCCATAGAGCCATTAATAGAAGGATTCAGTGATTTAACATGGGGATCAGAAGACTTTTTTTTTTTTAATGATTTTATTTATTTTTGAGAGAGAGAGAGCGTGTGTGGGGGAGGTTCACAGAGAGAGGAGGACCAAGGATCTACAGCAGGCTCTCTGCTGTCAGCACAGAGCCCAATGTGAGGCTCGAACTCACAAACTGTGAGATCATGACCTGAGCCCAAGTTGAACGCTCAACCGACTGAGCCACCCAGGTGCCCCTAGAAGACGTTTTCTGTAAAGGATCATATAGTAAATATTTTCTGCTTTGGGGGACAGCTTCTGTCACTGTGAAGGCAGCCATGGACAGTATGTAAAAGATGTTGGCCTGGTTGAATTTCCTCGGACAGCAGGCCCAGTTGGGTCCCAGTTTGCCAACCCCTGATGTATACAATGGTTAGCACGTTGCCTGTACATAGCAAGCAATTAAATGGTTCCCCAGCAACACTATCCTCAGTTCCATGGCTGCTAGCGATTGAACCACCTCTAAGAGGAATGCTTGGGTATCTTTTGAGTCTTGCTTCTGTTAACAGTTGTGCAAGTTACCTCCCTCTAAACCTCCATTTCATCGGGGGCGCCTGGGTGGCGCAGTCGGTTAAGCGTCCGACTTCAGCCAGGTCACGATCTCGCGGTCCGGGAGTTCGAGCCCCGCGTCAGGCTCTGGGCTGATGGCTCGGAGCCTGGAGCCTGTTTCCGATTCTGTGTCTCCCTCTCTCTCTGCCCCTCCCCCGTTCATGCTCTGTCTCTCTCTGTCCCAAAAATAAATAAAAAAAAATGTTGAAAAAAAAATAATAAACCTCCATTTCATCATCTGTAAGCGGGGAAAATGTAGTAACTATCTCATAAGGGCAATACGAAGATTATATTAAATAATCTAACGTGAAATCTTAGCCCAGTCTTTGGTGCATGGTGAATGCTCGCTAAATGTTCAATGCTAGAAGCTGCCATCGTTACAATGGAAGTCCTATGGGCGAATAAATGGGAATACATCTTGGTGCCCTTCAATGCAGACTGGGCTCCAGTTCTTAGACCGGATGGGGCTAATTGTCTAGGATATTATTTGATTTTATTGATATCTGATGTTATCCTTTTTCCTGCTTCTCCGAAAGCTTGTACATGGACTTTTCACTTGAAATGTGATCAGTAGTTACAGGGAAAAGAGAATTCATGTCCCTATAACTATGCAAAGGCAGTTATTTGTTCAGCGAGCTTTAGAATTAGGTCACCTTGACTTGACCCAAAACTCATGGCACTTATTCCCCCAGAAGCCAATGACCATACCATGAAATGTGGGGTGATTCATGGAGAAATGAAGTCTGAAAAATGTTTGACATCACGTTCAGTTTTTAAGAATATACATTAGAGGACTTTGGTTCTGAAAACAAGATGCATCAGAATGAAGACCACAGCTCCTGACAAAGCCAGTCCCATGGGGACGCACCTCCTCGAGCAGCCCTCCCATGAAAAGCTTTCTGGCCAGCCCCCATTACCGTGGACTCGGTCTCCTGTGCTGACCTCTGCAGAGGCCACGGCGGATTTCTCAGGGGTCGTGGCCTTTCTTTCTGTCTAACTTCTGCCCCACGGGACTCCTGTAGGTCTTTTTTTCTTTTTTTTTTAATGTTTATTTATTTTCGAGGGAGAGAGAGACAGACAAAGCACGAGCAGGGGAGGGGCAGAGAGAGAAGGGAGACACAGAATCTGAAGCAGGCTCCAGGCTCCGAGCAGTCAGCACAGAGCCCTGACACGGGGTTTGAACTCATGAACCGCGAGATCATGACCTGAGCCGAAGTCGGACACTTAACTGACTGAGCCCCCAGGTGCCCCAGCTGTAGTTCTGATCACACAGCTCAGACTTTCAAAGGATCACGTTATTTTATTTCTATTTGAGAAAACTTTTGGGATAAAACATAAGTTAGTTATAGTTGTATAGGCTCATACTCACCCCCTTCTGTTTGACTCGATGTATTGCTTGATCTTTTCTAGGGCCCTTATTTTTTTTATTTTTTTTTTTGTCAGTTCCCCCCTAACGGTACCCCCAATCCTTGGGGTAGTTGATTAGGCCTGCTGAAACAAAGTACCACAAGATAATAGAAATTCATCTTCTCGTGGTTCTGGAAGCTTAGAAGTCTGAATCAGTGGTTGGCTGGGCCATGCTCCCTCTGAAGCCTTATAGGGGCAGAATTCTTTGCCTCTTTCCAGGTTCTGATGGCCTCAGAGGAGTTCCTTGACTTGTGGCTGCATAACTACAGTCTCTGCCTTCGTCTTCACATGGCATCTTCTCCCTGTGTGTGTGTGTCTGTGCCTTCAACTGGTGTCCTCCTTCCTGTGTCTCCTCTTATCAGTTCACCAGTCCTGAGGTGACTGGGTGGCCCAGTCAGTTGGGCGTCCGACTTCAGCCCAGGTCATGATCTCATGGTTCGTGGGTTCGAGCCCCACATTGGCAGAACCTGTTTGGGATTCTCTGTCTCCTTATCTCTCTGCCCCTCCCCTCCTCTCAAAAATAAACATTAAAAAAAAAAGAGAGAGAGAGACCAGTCCTGTTGGATTAAGGACCTGCCCTACTTCATCTTATTATAAATAATTCCATCTGCAGCAGCCTTAAATCCAAATCAGATTACATTCTGAGGAACCCAGGTTAGGACTTAAGCACATATCTGGATCGTGGGGCGGTAGGGTGGGCTGGGACACACACACACACACACACACACACACACACACACACACAATTCAACCCATAGCACCATCTTTCAGTTTTAGATCAACAATCATTTATTAAACACCGACAGCGTATAAAACATCATGCTAGTAGGTTCCATTGAGTAGCTCCTGTCCTTTGGGGAGCCACAATCTTGTGGGGGAAAAGCTAGACATTCCAGTGGCAGCCATCAGCAAGGCACAGGGTTTTCTGGAGGCAAAATGGGACAGGCCATCATTCAGCCCAGAGGGCAGGCTGACACCAGACCTGCCCACTGAGCTGGATGAGCTCTGAGTGAGGCTGATGGCAGAAATTCAGACCAGAGGGCAGAATGCATGGCACTGGGCCATCCAGGCAGACAAGCAGGTGCAAGGAGCAAAGGTGAAAAGAAGAGCCTTGG